ACTGTGCCATGCCAGCGCCATCTCAGCTCCATCGCAACGCTGTCCCAGTGCCACCCCAGTGCCACCTCAGCTCCATCCCAGCTCCATCCCAGCTCCATCCCAGCTCTATCCCAGCAGCATGCCAGCATCATCCCAGTGCCACCCCGGCTCCATCCCAGTGCCATCCCAGCACCATCGCAGTACCACTCCCTGTGCCATCCCAGCTCCACCCCAGCTCCATCCAGCTCCATCCCAGTGCCATCCCAGTGCCATCCCAGTGCCATCCCAGCTCCATCACAGTACCACTCCCTGTGCCATCCCAGTGCCATCCCAGCTCCATCCAGCTCCATCCCAGTGCCATCCCAGTGCCATCCCAGCTCCACCCCAGCTCCATCCCAGTGCCATCCCAGCACCATCGCAGTACCACTCCCTGTGCCATCCCAGCTCCACCCCAGCTCCATCCCAGTGCCATCCCAGCTCCATCCCAGCTCCATCCCAGTGCCATCCCAGTGCCATCCCAGCTCCATCCCAGCACTGTCCTAGTGCCATCCCAGAGCTACCTCACTGCCATCCCAGTGCAGTCCCAGCTCCATCCCAGCACCATCCCAGCTCCACCCCAGCTCCATCCCAGTGCCATCCCAGCACCATTGCAGTACCACTCCCTGTGCCATCCCAGTGCCATCCCAGCTCCACCCCAGTGCTGTCCCCTGCCAGGGTCGCTGTGCCGTCACTTACTGAGGCTGCCCAGCTGTTTGATGATGGCAGCCAGGGTGCTGTTGGTGACACACTCCAGCTCGCTCGTCACCCCATCGGGAAGGGCCCCCCGGCACAGGTGCCGGGGCTCGATGTTCCTCTTCACCAGCGGCATGGCGAGCGCTCAMGCCTCTCCTGGGGAAAGGACAAAGRAARGAGAACACCCAGCTTTTACCGTTTGCTTGTTTCTCCCCATACTCCCTCACCTTTCCGCCCAGGAGATKGGTGCTGCCCACGCTGGGACACGGCAGGGGACAGCAGGGCTGTTCCGAGCCGGGGGTGCTCTTTTGGGGTGCTGGTGAGCACAGGGTGGCGGTGAGGACCCCGGCCCCACCTTCRCGCTCCTCTGCCGAGCCCCGTGTCCTTCCCCGCTCCCTCCCGGAGCTGTGCTCGCACCGGGATCCAACCCCGCTGTGCCGCAGCCCTTCAGCCGGCCCCGAAACGCCTCGTCCAGCCCAAACAGAAGCCAGGAAGCGCCTGTAATGCCATTATTTCCAGCTCACTGCGGGCTCTCCRGGGTTTTATTTGTGCACACACAACGCTGAGACAAGCTGCTGTGGCCAGCTCATCCCAGCTCCCTGCATGGCCCCGCATCCCTGGGTGCCCCACGGCATCTCTGTGTGCCCCTTCAGCATTCCTGGGTATCCCCACAGCATCTCTGTGTACCCCCACAGCATCCCCAGGTGCCCCAAAGCAACTCTGGGTGCCCCTTCAGCATCTCTGGGTGCCCCCACAGCATCCCCGGGTGCCCCACAGCATCTCTGGGTTCCCCCACAGCATCTCTGGGTGTCCCCCCGGCGTTTCTGGGTGTCTCCTGCCCCACTGTCACCCCGTTGAACCGGANCCCCCACAGCATCCCTGGGTACCCCCACAGCTCCTCTGGGTGCCCCCACAGCATCTCTGTGTGCCCCCCCAGCATCTCTGGGTGCTCCCCCCCAGCATTCCTGGGTATCCCCACAGCATCTCTGGGTTCCCCCACAGCATCTCTGGGTGTCCCCCCGGCGTTTCTGGGTGTCTCCTGCCCCACTGTCACCCCCCTGAACCGGAGATGGTTCATTTCCTACAGGCTTTAAGGAGATTCAGGGACATGCCCACACCCGAAGGCCTCATCTCCAGTGAGGGCACCCCTGGGAGCTGCAGGGAAGGAAGAGGATGGGCACCACGGGGTGTGGGGTGCTGGGGACAGGTTGTCCTGCTGATGTAACGGCTGAGTGGTGGGAAACAGGCTGGAAAAAGAGGTTAAAAAGGAGAATTTATTATCCACAGTGGTGTCTCCTGGGGTGCTGCAGCTCGGGGCTGGGACAGGGACAGGGACAGCGCCACGAGTGCATCCGGGCTCAGCTCAGCTCCCAAAGCGAAGGCAAACTGACGGCTGGGCTGATGAGGAGCAGAGAGCCCCACCAGCGTTCCCAAAGAGCAGAATCCCCCTGCTCCACATCCCCGACACTCCCCACGCACCCCATCTCTGACAAAACCTTGGCAGCCAAGGAAAAGCCGCTTCCGTTCATCGCTGGGAGCGGAGCCGCCGGGCGCCGGCACCGGAGCCAGCGATCCTGCCCGTGAGMGGAGCCAGCAATCTGCAGAGTTCACATTTTTCGGCCCCGGGAGCGTCAGACGGAACAGTTTCCCATTGATAGCGCCCGGCCAGTGCTCCTAGCACCAGCAGCTCCTCCACTGTTTTCAAATGCAAATTCAAGCTCCCTCCGCGAACGAGTCCAAAGCTTTTCCCGAAGGGCTGGGCTGTGCCCCGGGGCGCTCGGGGTGCCCAGGGAAGGGCTGGGCTGTGCCCCGGGGCGCTCGGGGTGCCCAGGGAAGGGCTGGGCTGTGCCCCGGGGCGCTCGGGGTGCCAAGGGAAGGGCTGGGCTGTGCCCCGGGGCGCTCGGGGTGCCAAGGGAAGGGCTGGGCTGTGCCCCGGTGCGCTGGGTGCCACAGGAAGGGTCCCGACCCCGAACCCTCCGCAGGGATGTGCGATGCTTCGGGCTCGGAGCAAACTCTGATTCCTGCAGTGCTCCCCAGACCCATTGCTCATGTGGCCCATGTGGCATGGGCCCTGGCTCCCGAAAACCAAGATTTCTGCCAGCTGTTTGTTCCTYTGCGGCAGCGTTTGCCGGGGAGGCTCCGGGTGTCTGTTCTGGCCGTGTAGAACCCCCTTTCCTGGGCACTCCCGAGCCCCCCAGGCTGTGTGAAGAGCTGAGCAGCGCTGGCAGCTACACCCCAAGCTGGTTTTCGGTGTCACCCCAAAAGCTGCCCTCGGAGGCTGAGCCCCGGCACGTCCCCGGGCTGCAGGGACCGCAGGGCACCGGGCAGAGCCCTTAACGAGCTGCTTGGGCCCAGCAATTAGAAACAGGGAACAAAGAGCCATTCTCAGCATCCTCCTGGGACACAGCCACGGGACACGGCCACTGGACACAGCCACCGGCACTCGGGGCTTTTTGTCCCTGTGCAGGGGAATTGGGGCCACCCGAGCCTGCAGCCCCCACGGGGACCCTGCAGCAGAATGAAGAAAAAAATGGATTTGTGGTTTGAAATCTCCCAGCAGGGACAGATTTGAAGAGGCAAAAAGAGGGTGAGGGGTGTGATGGCAGCATTTGAGACTGCCATGGGAGAGCGTCCCCAGAGCAGGAAAATCCCTTTAATCTCATCCCAAAAAAGGCCAAACAAGACTCAGAGCTTGCAGCAAAAGGAACCAAGGAGGAGTTGGGCACATTTTTATGCAAAGACAGCCTGGAAAGGCAACTTTGACAGGACCAGGAGCAGCTGCTTTCCAACCCCCCCAATTAACAGAACACGGAGATCAGGAGCCCCTGCCAGCCCCTCCCTGACACGTGTTCTCTCAGCCTGCTGCACAACAGCATCAAACCTCTGACTTCTGCCTTGAAATCCCAACTTGTCGCCTAAAACCTGTAACCTCTCACCTGTCCTGACTCGTGGGACCAGTTTTCTGGGTGGGGATGGGCTGCAGATGACTCCAGAGGTGCCAACTTCATTTCTGAACTCACTGGCACATCTTGCTCACAGCCACCAAGAGACTACACACACTGMTCTGCTGGTGTTTCAGGTAATTTCCAAGAATTTTGGGTGATTTTGGGTAGCAGATCCTCAAAAAATCAGGAAAAGGCTTCCAAGGGCAGGAGTCTGCTGCCTGCAGGRATGGCCAGGCTCTAGGATGACTTACATGGACTAAAACCCAGGGGTTTTGCTGTCTCCTGTCTGAAAGCAAGGAGCCCTCAGTGGTGTCAGGATGCAGGAGAAGGAGAATTGGAGCCATGAACTTGGCAGGAATTTCCTGGAGGTGGAAGGCAGGAGGAATGGGAGCAGCCAGGGGCTCCTCACGAGCTGCTGCCATGGCTCTGGTGCACTGTGGGCATTCTCCATCACTCAGCTCCTYCCACGACTGGAAAGAGTCAATAACTCTGAATTTCGTACTGGGAAATGCCACAGAGGAGGGGTGAGACTCAAACCCAGCTATGGAGCTCAGAAGGGAGGCACACYCAGCTCTTGGTCAGGCACAGCCCAGCTGAGGTGACCCTGCAGGGGAGGGGTGACACAAGAATGAGCTGCTCGTGGTGCCCTCAGCAGCTGATTCCTGCCAAGGAACAAACTGCCAGCACACCCCAAACCCAGAGCAGCTGAGGARCAGCCCCTGTTTCCCARAGCCAGGAGTTGTGGGGGATAAGGGATGTCCCAGTGCCTCCAGAGCAGCCTGGGGGTGATTTGTGGCACTGACCCACAGGTGACCCCTCCAGCTGGCTCCTCCCAGATGTTTTCCTTCACCAACATCTGCCAGCTCAGACCTTGGGGTCTATCCAGGCAGAAAAGCAGCTGTCGTTTTGTAAGAGGGTCCAAAAAAAGGAGTTTTGTGTCCAGCCATTGCTCCTTGTATCCTTGCCACAGCTTTTCATGTGCCCTCATCCCCTCTCTGCCTCCGAACCCACCCCTCTGTCCCACTGGGCTGATTTACAGCCCTGCAGCAGCTCCAAGGTGGCCTGAAGGACCAGGTGTGACCCTGCAAGGAGGGACAGGCTGAGCCCACTTCCTCAGGTGCTGGTTAACCCCTGGCAGGAGTTTGGGTTGGTCTGGGCCCAACTCCTGCAGCCCTGGAACCCTGCTTGATGTTGCCTGAGAGAGGGGGAGAAGTGTCCTGGCTCCCACCGTCTTTCACTGGGCCATGGTGGAGCAGAARACAATTTGGGGGTTTGTTTTCTATGGCTGGGTGTTCCCTGCAGGAGAAACCTGGACTGGGAGCGGAGCCATGGCAGAGATGAGCAGCCCTGGGGGGAAGGATTCYCACCCTGCACATCACCAGCTGCAAATCGAGATGCCTCCAATATCTGTGATGGAGYTGGGTGGTGCATGGAGCAGCAGGAWKGGGGAAACCTCAYTCACTGTGTGTCAGACAGACAAGAAAAACCCCGAGCTGGGATTTGGGGAGAACATGGCTGAGTGTGTGGTGAACCTGACGCCTCAGGGCTGGGAGTGGGGTCAGCCCCGCACTAAGCTCAGTTCCAGGCCARGCTTTGGGGCACTCTGTTTGCTCAACCCTTGCAATCAAAGCTCTTTCCCAATTTGGGCTTCACAGGGTCCTTCTGAGCCCCGAGGAGCAGAGGCTGCCAGGAACTGGAGCCTTTTGCAAGGGAGCAAATCTTTGGTTGGATGCCAGGAACCAGAGCAGTGCAAAAAACAAGTGATACATGGAAAAATCAATTAACCTTGAACAAAAAAGTTTATAAATGAATATTAAACAAATGAGAAGTGCCAGATCTCRTGGTGGCTGCTCAGGACTATGTTCTAGTGCAGAATCCTTGGGATGGTGAGGTGAGGAAGGGCTGGGGGCAGGAGGGAGGCAGGAGGCAGTGCTGAAATACTGAAAGGAGCAACAAACCCCCTGACTGAAGTCAGGGARAGGACAAGAGGCAGAGCTGACACTCAGCTGTGCCTGAAGGAGCTCATCCTGTGGAGTTTGGCAGGGTGGATCTGGGATCCTTCCTTTTGGGAAGGATCTGGGGGTGTGTGATGCTTCTGAACAGACAGAAATAGGTGGTAGGTGTGAAAGCAGCAGGTTCTCGAGGTGTTGATTTGTGGAGCTCTGCCACAGCGTGGTGGAAATCAGCGTGGGATGGTTCAAACCACAACAGGACAAACCTGCAGAGGACACAGAGGCCACCAGCAGCCACCTCACAGTTGAAGGGCAACCTCTGGCTCAAGTGACCCTACACTCCTGCTTTCCTTCCAGCGTGGGCCATGGGGAGAGCAGAGCTCAGAGCCTACAGGGGCTGAGCCCTTGTTGTCCCAGGAAAGAAATCAGCCAGGGAAAACTGTGCAGGCAGCTCTTTGTGGTGAGGGAAAAACCTGCCCGGGAGAGCTGGGCCAGATCTGCTGATTTCCTTCCCACAAAATGGAGCGGGAGCTGCACCGCAAGGACTCGCTGCTCTCATTTACCAAATGCATCTGCCACCACTCCACTCCTTCATTCGCTGCCAGCCCAAATGCCTGAGAGTGCCACCAGCATGGCCAATGTCACTGCTCTCTGGGGAGGTGACCACTGCTCCAGAGCTATTGACCAAAGGGTCATTAAATGTATTAAAACCGGCTGGATCTCAAGTGTTCCCCCTGCTTAAAATAAAGCAGAGCACAGGTCTTTGGTGAGAGGCAGCTCTCAGGGTGGCACTGGAGGCTGATAGGCATGGGAGAAGCAATGCCACGGCCTGGCCCTTCCTTCAGGCCTCTGCGTGCCCGAGGGGTCTGGGGCCGTGGGAGGGATCCCAGCTGATGGTTTGGGGCCGTGGGGAGGATCCCAGCTGATGGTTTGGGGCCGTGGACAGGATCCCAGCCCAGCCGGAGGGTCAGCAGAGCCTCAGGCGGCCAAATGCCCTGGGAATGCAGAGCCCAGGGTGYGGGGTGCTGTYGGTGTGCCCCACCGCAGGACAGCAGCTCGGGGAGGCTGTGGTCACTGCAGCACGTGTGGAACGAGCGGAGAGGTCTCAGCCCCGATCCCGGYGGGCACGGAGGGGTTTGTGCTGCCGGCCAGCAGCAGATCCGTGTGGAGCTGGGCAAGGGTCAGGCCCTGCTGCCAACGAGGGGAGAGAGCCGTGTCCGGCCGGCCCCGGGCTGGCTCTGGGCAGTGCCCTGTGTCCCACCGGGGAGCGCATCCCGGGAGCGCTGCCCCCGCCTCTCCTCCGGCTCATCTGCGGCTCCTCCTCTGCGAGCTCCGCCGAGCGCGGCTCCGCCACGGCAACTGCCAGGAGGCTTCAGCGAGAGAACGCTTCGCAGCAAAGTGCAGCACAACGTTAAATCACCGCTAAAAATATTCCTCAAGAGCTTTATTAGTAAATGCCACAGTTGGTGGTTCAGTTTGGTTTTTTCTCCCCCCCTTCTACTGTAGAGCGTTTCAGCTCTAGGAACAGCGACTAAACCAGCTCTAAATCAGCAGCAGCTCCGAGGGCTGGGCTCTGCAGCACCAGCCCTGCTTAGGAGGATGCCATAAATGCATCTTGCCTCCTTACCCCGGGGTCAGTGCAAAACCCTCGTACTGCTGCGAGCCTGGCTTAAAACAAAGAGGCTGCTGGATGGGTTTTACCTAAATGATGTTTATTTATGGGTAGGTGAGAGCAAATGCTGTAAATCACAGAATCACTGGAGGGTTTGGGTTGGAAGGGACCTTTAAGATGATTTAGTTCAACCCCCTGCCAYGGGCAGGGACACCTTCCACCACCCCAGGGTGCTCCAAGCCCCATCCAGCCTGGCCTTGGGCACTGCCAGGGATGGGGCAGTCACAGCTKCTCTGGGAACCTGTGCCAGGGCCTCACCACCCTCACAGYCARGAATTTCTTCCTAACTTTTAAYCTAARTCTCTCRTCTTTTGGTTCAAAACCATTYCCYRYTGAYCTACYACTACCTGYGCTGTAAAAAGTYTTYCCCTCCCTTTTATAAGCCCTCTTTAGGCACTGGACGGGGCTYTAAGGTCTCCCTGAGCYTTCTCCTCTCCAGGCTGACCAACCCCATCCCTGGCAATTTTCAGGCAGTAGCTTTCCTTGGGGCTTAGTTAACATGGGGTTTGGGTTCTCTTGTTTGATTTCTCAGAAATGGGGAGCCCTCAGTGTCCCCTGGCACTGGTCATGGAGCTGAGGGCCACTTCATCAGCTCCTTCCCGTTCACCTTCACCTTTTGGCTCTATCTCTGCTACAGACACAAACTAAATCCATGGGGAAAAAAAAGATATCCATCCCAAGACCCTAACACTGAAGGGGAAAGTTGTGGATAAAATTGTGCATGACCCTCCTCCATCGTCATTTGGCTGCCCCAAGCCTGGTTCCCGTGCGAGGACTGCCCGGSAGCGGCGGCACTGCCTTGATCTTCGGAGGAGGAGTCAGGGGATGGGGCTGTGGGAACACAGCACAGATCCCGGCTCTGTTTTGGCTGCGAGAGATCCCCGCCGGCCCAGAATCATGTGTTGTTTTTAACGACTCTATCACCAAAGGAAAATCTTCAATGCCGGCTCTTTTCCCCTTTTGTGCCCAGCTCATTACCAGAAGGATCTCCCTCGCTCGCCGCCGGGCTGTGCGAGCAGGGCGCCGCTGAACAAACCGGCCTTTTTCTCCCCAATATAGAAGGCGCTTTGATAAACCCGGGAAACCCTCGGCCAGCAGCGAGRGCCGTTCTGGAGAGCCGGTGCTGCTGCCTTTGGGAACCGCCGCAGGACCGGCACCTCCAGCTGCGGGCAGAGCGCTCCCAGCCAGCTCCGCCGCTGCTCCCTGCGGGGCTGGCCTTGGCCTGCTGCTCCCCAGCCTGGCTTTCCCCTACCAAAATGTGTGTGAACCCTGCAAAAATGCAGGTGGATGTGGGGCAGTGGGGGCAGACCGCAGCCCGGAGCCGGCTGCAGCCTCCCTGCTCAGAGACGTGCGAAATGCCGCGGCTGCTGCCCTCGGGGTGCAGCTCGGAGGGTGCCTTTTTGGATGAGCAGCTCTGAAAAAAAAAAAAAAAAAAGCGTTCTTGCTTTTCTTTTTTTATTTCTTAACACTTCTGGCTCGAGGGCTGTTGTTCGTAACTTGTCAAGATCTTGGCATCGGCAGCTGATTTGTCATCCGCCATAAAATGGAGGATGAGCATCTTTGGTTCAGAACTGGGCCAAGGGAGATGACAGCTCAAAGCAAAATATGCTTCATCTCCAGTTTTCTCCGTGGGCTTCGGCTCCCGGGAGAAGGAGCGGACATTTGGGGTCTGAGTTGCATCACAGCGTTCTGTGTGAGAGCCCTTCTCCTGCGTTTGCGACAGCGCAGCCCGGTGCACGTTAACCCTCTGCCTGCCGGAGCAGCWTGGGCTGGACCGACGCTGCCATCAYCCTGCTCGCCTCACCGAGCCCTGCAACCTGTCACCCTGTGAGCTCCTGAGACACTCAAACGCCACCGAAACACCGGGGTTTTCCCCCAAAAAATRATACCAGCAATCTCCTTAAAAGCCAGGCAACGAGCTGCAGCGGAGGGGAGTGCCTTGGCACGCTGAAGTTTGGAAGATGAATTATTAATCCTGCCATTCCCGAGCTGCCCGCACACCCCGGGYTGCGCTCCCCTCCTCCGGCTCGTGTCCGGCCGCCGCTCCCGTGTGCCGRGCACCCACGGCAGCCACAAACTCCGCCAAAAAGCACCTCGATCCGGGGGCATTTCATCGCGCCGACACCACCACGAGGCAGCGAGAACTCGAGTTTGAAGCCATGAAATTAAAGCTCCCTGCAAGAAGCTGAATCACTGAGCGTGGAGGCCCAGGCTCGGCACCTTTGGGGGGCTCTGGGCCTGCCTGCAGCTCTGCCCTTGGGGGTGTCCGGGCTGGGGGGGCACCCAGGGGTCTCTGAACCCAGCGGGGCTCCAAATCCCGGGCTGGGAGGGCACCAGGCTGGGGAGGGGGGGGCATGCATCCATGCATGACAGGTGACACAGGGTTGTGCCYTGCTCAGCGCTGTCCCCTCCGCATCCCCAGCCTCACACCGGGCTGCAGAGCCCCCCCGAGCCCCCCATTGCCCAGCCAGGGGGTGAGGAGCCCTGCCCTGCACAGGCTGGGGGTGCACAGGCAGCCGTGGGCCCAGTTTATCCCCCACAGTGATGTAAAGATGAAGGATCCTCCCTCCCCAAGCTGCAAGGATGTCAAGTGGAGCCCCCCGCCCCCACCCCGCCCCCACGCCAGGGTGCAGAGCAGCCAGGTCCCCCCTCCCTCTCCGTGCAGGAATGCAAAGTGACAGCACACACACCCCCTCCCCAGCGCGAGGGCGCGGAGAGGCCCGGAGCACCGCGGTGCCAATGTGCCGAGTGCTCCGGGGATCCCTCCCCCCCGCCATGAAAACGTGCAGAGCAGCCTGATCCCCTCCCTCGGCCAAAGGTGCACAAAGTGGAGGATTCCCACCCCCCGTGAATAGCTGCAAAGTGGAGGGACCCCCCAACCCCCGTGCCAGCAGCTCGGACAGCCCCTTCCCAAAGCAGGGATGTGAAGGGATGGAGGACAGCCCCCCGCCCCCAGGCACGGCTGCAAAGCTGGGGGGGATGCAGCAATACGGGGATGCAGAGCGGCCCTGCCCCCCCGCATGGATGCGAAGGGATGGAGGAAACCCCCGTGCAAGGATGCAAAGGGATGGAGGACCCACCCGAAAGGATGTAAAGGGATGGAAGACCCCCTCCCCCGCAAGGATGCAAAGGGATGGAGGATCCCCCACACCGAAAGGATGTGAGCTGGGATAGGATCACCCACCCCCCCCAAGCAAGGATGCAGGGCTGTGGGGGATCCCCTCCACGCAACGATGCCCCCCTCAAAAGGATGTAAAGATATGGGGGATCCCCATTAAAAGGCTGCGAAGCCCCCCGATGCCCCGCGAAGGGATGTCCCCCCATGCGCGCTCCACCTGCGGGGACAGGGACCCCCCACTTTCCCTGCGCCGCGTCATCCCCGCATCCCCTGCGCTCACCTCCGCCGGGTTGGGGGGCCGGGGTTTGTCTCGGCGCGGCGGGGCCGTGCGGGGCTGTGCGGGGCCGTGCGGGG